AAAAAGAAGAATGCCTTTATATTATCTCTATATTAGGTACTTTCATAAATGATACAATTTCTTTGAGAAAAAATTATTTCCATTATTTTTAAAAGCTACATAGAGGACCCAAAGAAGTCTCTAAATGAGACCACTAAATTCTATGTGTAACTATCGAAATTTCTTGGGTCAACAATTAAATCTTCTGTTAAAGTAGAAAAACCCACAGCACAATTTCTATAGGATATCAGGATAGTCATAGCAATAAATCTGGCTTGATGTGAATATGGCCATTTTCATATATTTCCCTGGAAAGAGACAAAAATGCTTAAATCCCCAAGACGGTAATAAAAAGAACTAGCAATTCAATTGGTGCTAAGTACTAATTATCTGCAACTAAATATTAGTTTCTTTCCTTCCAGTTCAGAAATATACCTTTAATAATTTTCTTCATTAACTAAGATCCATATGCCTTAACCCATTAAGAGGCTTGCTGTAACCCAAATGTTTATCTTTTTTTCAGGGTAGAACATTTTGTTTTGTTTTTCTGATGTTACTATCTCATTCAATATCATACATGGGAGAATATCATGATTTACAAAACCATGGTTCAATAATGCACAAAATAGAAAAACAGATTTCCCTGCTTAGGAGAAACACTGTGCTAAGCCCAGCATATGAATTTTACTGCTTCTTTTTACTGTTTTCTTTGCACAGAAGCAGATGGTTGGAGCCAATTTTGGATTCTAATCCCCAGTCTCTAAGTGGGGCCTTTCATACTCAAAGAACCAAATTCTTCTTTCTACTACTACAACGTGGTTTCCAGTTACTAGTATATTTACCCCATTATCATTCCTGTCCTTCAATGAACTGAGGTGCAGTTTACATATCACAGCCATTTTAAACCACAGAAATTTGTCCAGACACTCTAAGCTTCTACAAAAATATCCAATTTAAACCTGAAAATCCTGCTCAGTAATTCCAAAGCCAATGTGAAGTACTATAAAACATAAAATATAAAGTTGAACCAAAATATCACATAAAATTTAATAATTGCAAATGTATTTATTACAATGTACAGATTAAATTATATACACAAATAGAATTTTACTATAAAATCCCAACAAAATGGTTACATTTTACTCATTGGATCAGTAGAAGCCAATTCAGACGCCTTCTAGCCCCCTAAATTCACCTTCCTTAAATTATAAAAAAATAAAATCTGATAGTTTCGATTTCAAGTTAATGATGAAGAGGTGCTGTTATTACACTCAAAAAGGGAAATTTTACCTGTCTGTACGAAGCCTTTCACATGCTACATTGATACATAAAGCACCATTGCAAGACTTTAAATGCAATGTTCGATTAGAATTTCCAAGGATTTTTGTTTTAAGATGGTGGTCTAACTTTGTTTCAACAACTAGGATTGGAATGAAACTAACAAGAATTGTTTTTCTCCTTCAATCCAACTTAAACATGATCCCTTCTGTCCTTCTCACCACCCTCTGATCACTTCTTTTAAAGGAGGGAAGTAAAAGGGAGAATTGTTAACCACGCTGTTACTCATTTGGTAGTGAGGTTGAGGTTGGAATTCCAAGAGAACAATTTCCCGCAATCCAGCTCATGTAAAATAGCCTTCTTTCCGTATCGGCAGAGGCGCTAGACTTCAGAAGCACAAAACACAACCTAAATCTCTGACATAAGGTAGTATACTTCACTCCGGTTTTAAAGAATGCATATGCATTTTCAACAAGCTTTTTTCAGGGCAAATAATGCCTTCTTTCCACCTGACACAGCTGGTGCCTGGAACCAACCTACTTTCATGGTGCTTCACATTCCCTGATTACCTAACGCGGGGGAGCACAAAACACCTTGACAAGAATCTGACCTTATGTTGCTGCACTCCCCATGTGTTTATGTGAATATATATATATATGAACGCTAGAGGCAGTTCTTGGAGCAAACCAGATAGAAATAAAATAATGACCAAGTAGATTATTAACTGAGGTAGTAACCCTGCAAGCACTTCTAATGAAACATCATCCCTACAATGACACTAGTTCAAAATTAAGAGGTCATCTATTCTACTCACGTTTTCCATGACGAGAGGCACGTGGAGTAACAACTGACCGTTAGGGAGTTGGTTAGCACTCCCTCAACCTAACAGGTGCACACCAGGTGGAGCTACCTAAATTAACCAAGCACAACCAGTCACTGCAAAAACTTGGATTCAAAAGCAAATTTTGGGCTAGAGATATGAAGACTTCCTGGTTGTTAAATCTATAGTTCTTTCCTTTCCTGAACGTATAGCCCCTGCTTCTCTCATTATTCCTTCTCTTCTTATTAAAACAGAACACAATAAACTTGGATACGGACTGAAGTCTCTATTTTACATTTCAAACTGGAAAATTCCAAACTGCCCATTCCCAAGTTTACAGTGTCACCCTGACAGATTTTAAAAGTGACACAGTGCCGAGGCCTGACAATAATAACACTGCTTTCTGTTGAGAGCATATACAACAAAACCATATTGCTCTGATGTTTCTTATCTTCTTCCTAGGAGAATTCTAAGCTTTTAATTTTAAAAAATATAAATACCTATAATGTAATTATTACTTTCTGATCTCTTTTACAACTATTTCCATGTTAAAAGATACAAAGAACCATTTACCTAGAAACTACAATAACATATACAGGACCCTCTCCAAAACAGTTTACAGGGAAATTAAATATATTAGATGTTAAAATTTGGCAGAAAGATGTAGCTTTCCTAAAGTAACAGAGTACACACATGTTGATTTTGTGGCAATCCTTGGAAATATCTTAGTAATAATTAACCTAGAAATGAAAACCTACCCATTTTCTTACAAAGAAAAAAAAAGTGACACAAAATAATGTACCTTAAATTGGTAGCATACACAAGATTATTTTCTTAGCCTTAAGGTAGAAAGGCCAAGTCACTGAAATAAGATAATACAGAGAAAACATAAAAGCCCATTAATTTCAGAATGTTGGAGGGAAAAGCCCTGGCCGGTGTGGCTCAGTTGGTTGGAGTGTCGTCCCAAAAGGTGTTGGGTTCGATTCCCAGTTAGGGCACATCCCTAATCCAGGTTGGGGCGAGTATGGGAGGCAATTTATCTATGTTTCGCTCTCGCTCTCGCTGCCCCCACCTTCCTCTTTCTGAAATCAATGGGGGGGAAAAATAAACTGGGGCG